CAAGCAACAGCCTGTTGCACCAAGAGAGAAGTTCCAGGTTTCAAGACTCCTTCTTTATCAATTTTTGGTGTATGTGTGTGTGTGTGTGTGTGTGTGTGTGTGTGTGTGTGTGTGTGTGTGTGTGTGTGTGTGTGTGTGTGTGTGTGTGTGTGTGTGTGTGTGTGGTAAACAACAGAGATTACAACACAGAGCCTGGGGGCACTCGGAGTTGACTATTGAAATGACTGTCATAATAAAATGTAAGGTATCCCTTTCAGTGCCATGTGTCTACTACTTTCCTTAGCTTTGCGAAAGTCTGGAACTCTGGCAGAATTTGACCTTTTTAACAGTTTTCGTACGTGGTATTACAAAGGATTACAGAGGAATTCATCCAAAACTATTGCCGTAGACCCATAAATTAGGCTGCCTGTTTATGGGAAAACTTTGGTTGACAGTCTAAAACCAAAATCTAAATTTACGATTACGATATGATTAAAATCTCAAACAATATTTTAATTATATTAGGTTGGGTTAGGATGGGCTGGGCTGGGCTGGGCTGGGCTGGGCTAGGCTAGGCTAGGCTAGGCTAGGCTAGGCTAGGCTAGGCTAGGCTAGGCTGGATTTGTTTAGATAGAGGAGCGATGGCTCGCGTCGACCCTCTTCTCGTTTGCGTTGTAAAGCGTTGACATAAGGGAGAATTACTTGTCTAATCAGTTTGTTATTGTATACACGCTATTACTCGGAAGTATTGAACTTGGTAAGCTCTTCCATATGGTTACAATACGATAGACAGAAAATGTATTTTGCTTCGTTGCAGTGAAATCATTTACCGGTAATTCTGAAGCACAGTATATATACTTGTTATGCAATATCGAAGTATTTTTTCTGTGAAGAAGATTGTTATGGTCTTACATAATTGTAAATACTTGTAATAAATCACCTCATATTCTTCTGTTGAAATTTAATAATATATTCAATTCTTCTAAGTTGATTTCGTAGTATTTATTTATGTCTTGGGTATCATCGTCGTTGATCAGCGGTAAAATGTTTCATTTTGTCAGTAGAAGTGTTCAAATATGGTGTCCAAATTGCCTGCAATATTCCACTTTACAACCACTTGGTGTGGACGGTAGAGCGACGGTCTCGCTTTATACCGGTCGGCGTTCAATCCCCGACCGTCCACAAGTGGTTGGGCACCATTCCTTCCCTCCCCCCCGTCCCATCCCAAATCCTGATCCCTTCCAAGTGCTATATAGTGGTAGTGGCTTGGCGCTTTCTCCTGATAGTTCGCTTCCCTTCCCTGACATATTCCAGAATAAGATATACTAATGAATTATATGGTATTAGGCGGACTTTCTCGGATGAAAACCGCCTCTCTCCCTATGCCCCTGTTACCTAGCAGTGAAATAGGTACCTGGGTGTTAGTCAGCTGTCACGGGCTGCTTCCTGGGGGTGGAGGCCTGGTCGAGGACCGGGCCGCGGGGACACTAAAAAGCCCCGAAATCATCTCAAGATAACCTCAAGATAGATAACCTCACTGTACGTTCAATGTGATTGAAGGGTATACAGCTCTTCAGTCTCATCAACCACATTGAGGTTGAATGATGTAACCCCCTTCACCCCCCCTCCAACTATACCATATGTAGCAGAACAGATGTCAAAATCCAATGAATATGTAATCCTGTTCATGAAGGGACAAAAGAAAATTTATGTATGCTGGTTAGCATTAGAAATGGGGAAATGAAGGGCTAGATTCGTATCTTTTCTCAGAAATTTAAAAACAAAAATACTTGCGACATGGCGTTTATTTCTGCAAATTTTCCAAAGGACAACGACGGTGGCTTAATGCATATTACGACTATTGTCACTGTAAATTTAAATTTAAATTTTGCCCCCGAGGGGCGAGTTTATCGGGCAGCGCCACTCATCCTGTGAGTGGACACACCGCCATAGTGACAGTATTGGGCAGCGTCACTCATCCTGTGAGTGGACACACCGCCATAGTGACAGTATTGGGCAGCGCCACTCATCCTGTGAGTGGACACACCGCCATAGTGACAGTATTGGGCAGCGCCACTCATTCTGTGAGTGGACACACCGGCATAGTGACAGTATTGGGCAGAGCCACTCATCCTGTGAGTAGACACACCGCCATAGTGACAGTATTGGGCAGCGTCACTCATCTTGTGAGTGGACACACCGCCATAGCAGCATGTACAACACTCCCCAAAAGGAAGAAAACCGGCTGGGTTGTTCATCCTGAACCATTGTTACTGTAGTTTGGTTTGTTGACGCCATGAAGGCTGGGAATGCCTTCACTATGTAACCTTCACTGATCTCAAAAACTCAACCCCCCTAGCCCATATCTGCTAGGCTAATTGACCTAGAATGCCCATGTCAGTTGGTACACATTCCTTGCCTTGCTTGCGGCCTTAACTCGGTTTCTTGAATTGTTCCTGTTTCATAGGCTTTAAACGTTGCTCACACATACGCATACATGCACACTTACATATGCAGAGATGCTCACTTTCATATGCATACATGCACACTTTCATATGCATACATGCACACTTTCATATGCATACATGCACGTATACATATGATAAATGCACCCTTATACATATGATAAATGCACCATTCATGTACACATACATATGCATACATACACATATATGCGTAAATGACAACGCATGACAACATGAAAAAGATCAATATCCATCTTCCTTTCCTCTCACTTATTTTGGTTTAGTCCCACTTTTCTCTCTTTCTCCTCCCTCCCTCCCCCCACTCCCGCTCCTTCTCTCTTTCTAAGAGGTGAATTTAATTTGGAAGTTAATAAAAAGAGTTGCTGGAAGTAACAACATGAGAGAACAAGATGGCACCTGCAGCTGTGATGGCTTGTTGTTATTATAGATTCAGCTACTCGAAACAAGTTCCAAGTAGCACGAGCTATGGTGAGCCCGTAGTGGACTTATCTGGCACAGGAGCGGTGCTGTGTGCTGTGATGGCGTTTCCCACTTAGAGCGTGAGTGTGGAGAAGGTGAGGAAACTGAAGAACGACTGACTAGAAATAACTACACAGAAATCAGACGGGGAAACAATATGAAAATGAAAGACATGGTCGAAAAGCAGGCCTGGTCGAGGACCGGGCCGCGCGGACGTTAAGCCTCGAAGCCACCTCAGAGTAACCTCAAGGACCACCATCACCAACGCCCACTACCCCACCCATCACTGTTAACGTTAGCCATTACCATCACCACCACCCGACCACAACTGCCGCCGCATCATTACTATCAGGCACCCCAAGAGATCCTTTGTCTGAGGCAGAGACAGTAGGGGGCAGAGACACAGGTTGTAAGAGGCAGCGTGTGTGTGCGCGCGCGCGTATGTCTGTGTGTGTGTGTGTGTGTGTGTGTGTGTGTGTGTGTGTGTGTGTGTGTGTGTGTGTGTGTGTGTGTGTGTGTGTGTGTGTGTGTGTGTTTGTGAGAGGAAGAGACACTTTATGAGTGCACATATGCAGTGTATGAGAGTGATAATTAATCGCACAAATTTGTGTAAATATTCAACCCGCTCTTGCACAAGACAGTACATATATGACTTATTGCTTGTAGTCGTTATTTGGCTGATTAATAACCCCTACTACCCCCATGTGTCATCTTGAAAAGTTGGCTTAGGCCAGTCCCAAGCGTGTGACCTTCAGCCTGGACAGACATTCTATTTTATAAATATTATTGGTAAGAAAATAACAGAATATCTCTTAGAGAGGTCATAATATCTTCGGGATAATTTAATAATATTTGTCACTGTTCCACTTGAAACCACTAGAAAGTATCACCGCCTACTAATAATATAAATGATAATTAGTATGAACAAATCCACAAGGGCCGTGACGAGGATTCGAACCTGCGTCCGAGAGCATGTGTAATAATTAGTATGATAGACCTGTGGTAATATATTCTGGTTAGCCTATTTTCATTATTATTATAATTACTAATAATATGATAAATATAATTTGGTTTGATTATTATGATACGTATAATGTAAACATTGATGTAAATTAAATACGTGATTACAAATTTCCTTGTGCCTCTAGCATTGATGTTCTATTCAATAAACTTACCGGTAATTTGCAGCTAGTCTATGACAAATGGACGCGACAGAAATTGATGTTTGACAAGCAAAAGTTTCAGTGCATGCGCTATCGTTGTCTTTTAATATCTGTGCCATTTTTTGTCAAAACACTTACGTGGTCTACTAATGTGAGGTCGGAATAATTGCTCTCTTTGTGTAAATCAATGCTTCAGTAAAGAGTGTGTAAATCTTTGTGTAAATCTATGCTTCAGTACAGATTGTGTAAATCTATGCTTCAGTAAAGATTGTGTAAATCTATGCTTCAGTAAAGATTGTGTAAATCTTTGTGTAAATCTATGCTTCAGTACAGATTGTGTAAATCTATGCTTCAGTATAGATTGTGTAAATCTATGCTTCAGTATAGATAGTGTAAATCTATGCTTCAGTATAGATTGTGTAAATTTATGCTTCAGTATAGATTGTGTAAATTTATGCTTCAGTATAGATTGTGTAAATTTATGTTTCAGTATAGATTTTGTAAATTTATGCTTCAGTATAGATTGTGTAAATCTATGCTTCAGTATAGATTGTGTAAATCTATTCTTCAGTATAGATTGTGTAAATCTATGCTTCAGTATAGATTGTATAAATCTATGCTTCAGTATAGATTGTATACATCTATGCTTCAGTATAGATTGTGTAAATCTATGCTTAAGTGTAGATTGTGTAAATCTATGCTGCAGTATAGATTGTGTAAATCTTTGTGTAAATCTATGCGTCAGTATAGATTATGTAAATGTATACTTCAATTGTAGGATGCAACCCCACAACTGCTAATATCGGTCAGAATAGAATAGTTTCGGCATAGTAGCTTTCAGCATAGCGGTATATATTCAGCAGTGCTATCCGTGGTTCAGCAAGAGTTATTAACATTTTAATGTTATTTCCAGGGGAAAGTTCGCGGCTGTGAGGCGCGCTCGCTGCCTCCGGACTGGCACTTGGTTCGCTGCCAAGGTCATGAGGAAACGTCGCCGAGCCCAAGACGTCCGCCACGAGATCCTTCACGAGGCGGCTGTCCTCCTCCTGGCCAGACCCTCCTCCAGGATCGTGTCCCTCCACCAGCTCTACGAGACCACTTCGGAGATCATCCTCGTTCTCGAACTGTATGTCCTAAGAGTTATACACTCAATTTCAAAAGCTTACATTTTGCTATTTCAAGCACTAACATTCATATTTAAGTGTTGGGCTGCTTTGGTAATACTAACCAGTATATTCATTATTTTTTTTATAAACCTATTTGTGACATCCTCCTGTAATTGAATTTCTTTCTTTATTATGCACCTCATACCCATCCCGTGGGCGGTGGTGTAAAGGATTACAGAGGCACATAATCGGTTCAGGAACTGAATCCTTTAGTTCGTTTAGCTAAGCAAATAACAATCTTTTGACGCTATTTACGAAATTATTAAATGTTATATATGTACATGTACACTTACTCATACTTGTACATATATATACATATACATATATACATACACATACATATTTAATCACCTACACAAATACACACATCAATAATCTTTTGTGTCACAAGTGATTCAGCAAGAGGCTCACAACAGTCACTATACAAGGCACTTTACATCTATGATCAGTCGCACAGTTACTAGTCTTGCTGCACACCCACCCAACTGGGCGGCAGCTTTACAGTCATGTGCATGCATTACTTACAGTAAGCAAATTTTGGATACTTCGCTAAGAGTTTGGGCAGCACATTATTATGAATGAAGTACACATATCTTGGACACTATTGATGGTGTTATCTCTAAATTCCGCGATTTTTTCACATTCCATTATATAATGACGCAAAGTATGCGAATAGTTCTGCTGACAGAGTTTATATTTAGTCAAATCTACTTCAGCAGATGTTACAAATTCCCAGAGGTACTTGTAGCCGAGCCTAAGCCTAGCAGTGGTAACATCTAGAAGTCTGCTAACATTATTGGATGACCCATAGACGTGCGGTTCTTCCTGCATAATAGAATGATGATAGATGGAGGAACTGGTGTGAATTTCACTTTGCCTCAAGTCTCCGAAATTTAGTTGATGTTCCCGGAATATTACTGCCCTCAGGCTGCTCAAAGGCAGCCCAAGTTGGTAATCAATCCCCTCTTAACGAGCAAAAATCTTGGTCAACTCATCAGTTCTATCATGCATTTGGAGACCAATATGGGAAGGAATCCACAGGAGACAGACTCTGACTCCATCATTGATTGTTGCATTATATCTGTGTCTAGCTTCAGAGATAAGCACATCACAGTTATGACTTGGGGAGCTGAAGGCAGTCAAGGGTATCCTCCTGTAAGAAGGTCAGAGTAACTTTTCCCTTCATAATAATAATAATGAATTCATTGTGTCGGGGGGACAGGCAGCCAGAGTGTATTCATACATGTTAGGTTTATACTTAGATTCTCCCCCCACCCCCCCAAGGTCGAATTACTGACCCCGCCCAGGATACAACTCCACAATAAGCTGACTAACTCCTGCGTACATATTTACTGCTAGGTGAAAACAGGGGCATTAGTTGATAGGAAATGCGCCCAACCATTTCTGTCCCACCCTAGAATTGAACCTGGAATTCTCGATTGTGAATCGAGAACGAATCTGACTGTACTTCTAATAGGCCAAGTTGCATAACAAGCCGAATTTTACAGACATATATTTTTCAAAGCATTATTCTTATGAAATTATAAGGTTTCCATTACATTATATATGAACTGATTTTTTTTTAGTTAAAACTAACATAGAAATTTGATCAAACCTAACCTAACCTTAACATTGACAGCCTTGTTAAGCAGATATTTTTAAAAATAATTCCTCATTGAATAAATGTATGTTTACACCTTCAGTTCATGTTCTCATAATTTTGTATTTAATTTATTGTGTAGTCATAACATAAGCAATGATTCCAGGGCTGAGGGTGGAGAGTTGCAGAGAGTCATAGACGAGGAAGAAAATCTGGAGGAGGGTGTTGTGTGTCGCTACATGATCAACATTCTTGGTGCTCTTCGCTTTCTGCACGCCCACAACATTGCCCATCTGGACTTGAAGGTATAAATTGTATTTTGTCTCATAGGTGTTCACCTTTCATTACCTGGAGAAGCCTATACAGCAGTGGTTCCCAACCAGGGATCACTAGGACAAATAATATGTATTGTATTGTACTTCAACAAAATAAATGGTCTCTGAAAATACGAGGCAGCCACTTTTTTTTTAATGATGTAAATACAATAGCTGAGTAAATGTGAAAATTCCTGGGCATTAAAATCAGATATTATGTTCCTAACTCTGCTCTCCTCTCACTATATTATGCACTAATCTACCCCTATCTTAATTATGGTATCTGTGCATGGGGGTCTACCACTGCAAACCACCTTAAGCCCATCATCACACAGCAAAAATCTGCTATCAGAATAATAACTAACTCTGCTGTCAGACAACACTCAGCTCCCTTGTTTAAATCCCTAAACTTGCTAAATATTAACTCCCTCCACACATTCTCTTGTGTCAACTACATTTACAAAACCCTGTTCTTAAATGCAAACCATGCTCTGAAACTCTCCCTGGACAGATGTAATAGGACCCATTATCACCACACCAGAAATAAATATCTCTTTGATATCCCCAGGGTCAAACTTAATCTGTGTAAACACTCTATGCAAATTAAGGGACCTAGTCTATGGAACTCACTCCCTAGTGAATTGAAAAACTGTAAAACTTTTGCCTTATTTAAAAGCAAAACCAAAAAGTACCTAACTTCATCTATTTAGTTTCCTACACTGAGCTTTAAATTTGCTCTGTACCTAGTGTTACCCAATCTCCTAATTTTTATGTAATATCAAACAACCTTATCATTGTGTTCATTGCTGTCTTCTTTTATGTGCTAGCCATATGCTGTATTGTGACTACCAATTTTTGTCAACTACCATTCAAGCTGTCATTGCAATCAATCTTATATTGTTTCTGCTGTATTGTGCCTACCAATTTGTTGTCAACTACCATTTTAAGCTGTCATTGCAATCAATCATAGCTACCTATGTGCTTTAATATACTGTACCTATAATTTTCTCTCATCTTTTTTTTTTCATTCCATGTAATCTGTTATCATTTTTTGTCTATAAATTTTGCAAGTATTTACCTCCTTAAAATTTTCTTAGATTAAGGACCTGCCCGAAACGCTGCGCGTGCTAGTGGCTTTACAAGACTGTAATTACCATATTTGTATCCTCACATTCCTTATGTACATTCTTGTATATGCATAAATAAATAAATAAATAAATTTATGTTGTCTTGGACAGTTTTTACATATTTCAGTATTGGTATTTTACACTAGCTTCAACATTATTGTTTTATTACCAAAGACCTTCACTGCAGAGTCCAGCCATTTAGCCAAGTCACTTTACATCTCTGAAAATAAGTTTCGCAAGACCCTATGTTCCTAACCTTGTTTAGTCTTTGTCACAAGGTATTTTCATACTGTTGTTTTTTATACTGTAAATTCCAAATATTCTAATCATTTTATAATAGTTCAATTGCATGGATTTTTACAGCACTACTAAATTTCATACTTAAAATATAATTTTTTAATTATTTGAGAGCCTGTAACTTATATGATGAAAGATTTTCCTCATTGCAAAAATATTATTAAAGTACAATATTCTTTTTTTCCACAGCCACAAAATCTCTTGTTGATGGGACAACATCCACAAAGTGATGTTAAATTGTGTGACTTCGGCATTTCACGCATCATCCTGTCTGACATAGAAGTTCGCGAGGTCCTCGGCACTCCAGATTATGTTGGTGAGTCAGAATGTGTCTTATGCTTGCTGACCAGGAAAGACAGGAAACGCAAATTTGTCTTGCCATGCAGGTGTAGTTTCACACCATCTGTGCTGTTTTCATATTTCTGTTACTGCCATTTCTAAACTCTTACCCTTGATTGGTCCCACAAGTATGATTCCACTGTGTCCTTAAATGTGGATTGTGCACTCAGACAGGGCAACATATAGCATGGCACTACAAGAAATTATCAAGCATCACTATAAGGTCAGTGTGTGCCAAGGAAGTTACTGGAGAAAGAATCATTCTGTATCGAAAATGACTTTCAAGGATTTTCCACAAAACATCAAAATTTTCCAGACCCCTCACTTATGATAACGAGAAACTTTCAAATGAAGGCTCTCACTAACTACGACTCAGTTACTTGGTCATTTCCACAGATTGTCATCATGTAATGGCACTTCACAAGCCAGCTCCCATTATCTCAGACTGTTGTCCTGGAGAGTGCTAGTAATTGGACACCTTTTTAATCTTTAAATAAGTTTCTTCACCTCCGGGGGCATTGGATGGGCCTGTTACCCACCAGTTCTCATTTTTAGTGAATGGGTTGGCTTTTTATTTTGTTTTATTTTCACTTTTATGAACTTCATTTGCCTTTTTTTTTTTTTTTGGCATCCTGAAAAAGTTAAGTTTGGAGTAGACGAACACTTGCCTTGGTACAAAACTTCGCTCATAGGAGATTGACCCAGTAAACTGGTTTAGGTCTCTTGACCCTCAGTTTGGTGTTAACCTACTGTTAACCATTGTGGTGCAACTCTTGGCTATGGGATATGGTGGTGGGCATATTGCAGCATCCTTTCCATAATGCAATAACTCCAGCAGCCACTCCTTTGGTCTCTTGTATTGTCCTATTGGATGTTGGATGCAGGGATGGTTTCAACCTTGAGTTTGAAGTATTTCTCATTCATAGGTGACCAATCTGCTAGACCCAGAGTTTCTGCAGGCAGTTTATCATATCACTTTGTGACTTTGGACTCTGGCTCCAATGTATCGATGCTGGTAGCCACCATTCCAGGATTTTGCAGATTCCCGAAACTGTCGTTTCTATTTTTAAGAGATTCTCACTCTTTGGGTTTCCTCAACTTTCCTCAACCAAGTCTTTTTGTGAGGCCCATGTGGGTGTGGCTCTTGACTATATTCTTTGTGCTTCAGTGAATGGGGCTTTGGTTCCAGTGTGTTAAAAACTCTGCTTCTCATTTTTACCCTCTAGCTGCAAGTACACACAAAAAAAAGCTTCATGGCTCTTGCTCAGGCACTGGCAGCACTAGGAATGGAAGGTTGCTGTTTTTTAGTTTTCCTTTAAGGTGTGCAGAGTTCAGTGTCTGCAGGGATTAGAAGATCCTTCCTCCTCCGGATGGTAAAAAGACTTGAGGGAAGGCCCTTTGTCTTCCCTGATTGAGTATCTAAGCGAGGTGTCAGAGGATGCCATGGACTGATACCTCTTTGGCTATAGTTAGATGCAAGTCACCAGACCTGATGATTTTTTTTTTAAAGGTGGGGGGAGATCTGCTGTACCCATCATGAGCAGCATTGTATAGATATCTAAGCCTATTCACTATGAATTTGGTTTGTCCTTCTATGAAGAAAGATTATCAAATACCTTATGTTTTCATCATGTTGCCTTCCTACTAGAACAAAATGAGATTTCCAATGGTTCTGGTTGAGAAATTCGGACCATGTTTCTGAACTGGACCTGGCTCTCTAGGTGTGTAGGATCTGCTTTTGTCTCCTTGTTTATATATTGCGTTCCTGCTTCCTCTTAGGTAGTGGACAAGACTGTTTTCCTGAAAATGTTAGCTGTTTGTTCCATACTTAAATCATGAAGTAGAAGGTTTTGCACATCATTGGTGTGGCTTTAGTTGGGAAATAGTTGTTGCAATATATCTCTTTCTGCATAAATATCATGAAGGCTTAAGTTTTTGTCTTCGCTGCAACAATATGTCAGTGGTGCAATGCTTAAACTGGGTGGGGAGGCTGCATTTGGTTCCTCCCACTTTGGTGATAGACATTGTCAATAACCTCTTGTCTACTTACTCTGGATTTAGTCCACTCATTAGTTTACATCAAGAAGGTCTTGAACATGTTAATGGAGTGTGTCCTGCATTTGTCCATTCTGAGCAGATGGGAATTTAATGCAACTTTCTTCCTGGGAATACCTGAATTATTTAACATTCTTCAGGTGGATCTTTGCATGCACATATAATCACAAGCTTCAGTTATACTTGACACCATTCCAGGACTGGTACTCATTTACAATGAATGTCACACAGCTTAATTGGAATTGCTGGGAGATCATCTCTTTATTTACATGGTTGATCCTTGTGAAATTTGTAGAACAACTGAACAAATCCACAAGGGCCGTGACGAGGATTCGAACCTGCGTCCGGGAGCATCCCAGACACTGCCTTAATCGACTGAGCTACGACAGGGTTAAAAAGAGTTGAAACCAAAGTTCTACTGAACTTACTGGATCCCGTAGCCTCTCCGAGGCACAAACCAGGATTTTACACAACTCCCCCTGCACTCGAGCTATGTCAATAGGTCGGAAGCAGGTTCGAATCCTTGTCACGGCCCTTGTGGATTTGTTCATTTGTGCATCACGTTAGTGTGATCTCTGTGTGTTATTGTAGAACAACTCTTCTGCTGCCAGCATTGGGGGACAGGTGGTGGACTTAATGGTTCAGTCCCTTTAGGGGTCCTGTATATGACAATATGAACTAGCTAGGCACATGATGCAGCAGTATCCTGCTCTTCACCAGTTCTCTCTCACTGTAGCATCTGGTATGTTTCCCTTTGTTATTTAAAGGAAAGGTGCTCATGCCAAATGGTTTATTGGAGCCCTTGAAGTAAGTTTGACATGACCTTTCTTTCTCTGCATTTATATAGCTGAATAAAGACTATTTGATTGCTGTCCTTACTTACCCTGAAGACATTTTTGTTATTGTTATTTATGATTACCAGGCTTCCTTTCTCCAGCATTAGGGGGTTTGTAGTTTTTGGGAGAGGGAAGATTTTCATTCATTGCAAGGGGACCTATTATTGTCCAGGCATGGTCTGTATATTCAGATAGCTTTGGCATTATATGCTGGCATTGTGTTGAGTCACCACGGATAGTTGGTGTCTTAATCGTAGGTCAGTGCTCCTTTGTACTAGGCATGCATCTCCCAGCTGCTACAACACTTTGTCAAGTTTAGTTACCATAGACATACATCTCATGTAAGAACTCAATGCTACTTTCACTGTGTTCTTCCCTACCATGTCTTATTGAAAGTCTAGAGCTCAGGCCTTCAGGGAGTCCAACCCTATTTTTGCAGCAAGATCTGTTCCCCAGACTTTCCATAGGAATTGTCACTTTGTTGCCCTCATTAGGCTCTCCTCCTGGTGACTAACCTCGTGACTGGGTCTGTGTTTGCTTGTGCCGGTATCCTCCTTTTCCTCATAGTTGGGCAGTGTTTCTGCCACCCAACATCTTCCTACAGATATATTTATGTAGCACAAGTGAATATTTCTACCAGTTTGTGTTTTTTAATCATTCTAAATGCCTTACTCAAGGGAGCAAGTGAAGGAAGTGGTCAGAAATACAACTGAGCTTTAGTGAAATGTCTCCTAAGGTTTGTTTGCTTGTTTCCTATCCAACTCTATTCTGTCCCTAGTGCCTGTTCCTCTCTATTATTTCTTCCATCTCCTGTCCCCCCTCTATCTGCTGTGTGCAGGGTGATTTGCTTGACTCAGGTTGTGTCTGCTGGTTTGAGCATACAGCCTGGCTAGCAGTTAGTGACAGTCTTCGTTTAACGGTCACCTATGATTACAAACAAGGCTTCAGAATTTGTTGTGGAAAAACCTTTTGACTGTTATTTCTGACTGAGGACCAGTGACTTATTTGTGGGCTGGATTGATCCTTTCTTCAATAATTCCATTATTACAGCATTACACTGCAGAGATACTGGAAATATTGTGAAAAGGCATAAAAGGTTCAAATGTCGTAAGCCTTTATTTATTTTTCCTACATATGATTACAAAATTAATATTTTTTTCGTTTCCTGTCAGGCATGAGTGATTAAGAGTTGTAAATATTATTTGTATACATAAATATTATTTGATGTTTAATGATACTTGTTTCCCTGTATGGCTATACAATGCATTCTCTAGACTAATGTCTTGCTGTATAAGGAAGTGGGATAAAGATTATTAATATTTAAACTGTCATTTTGTTTTCATATGCAGCACCAGAGATCTTGCAGTATGAACCTATCAGTCTAGCTACAGATATGTGGTAAGTGGAATAATGTTAAATACTGTTTCAAGTAGATAATATAATTGTGTCATAAAGAGCCATGTAGTATTACCATGGATTAAGCAAATGGTGGGGTAGGGGGGGGGGGGAAGGGGCTTCATATAGCTACTCTGTATTTGATAGGTCATTGATTTGTTAGCATTTCTAAAATTAGCAAAGCAATATGCAAGTGCAATAGCATAAATAATTTTATAGTGACACTGAGAAAAAAAAGGACAGCTTGTCATTTTTGTTAAGTTTTAAGTTGCTAAAATGTTTAATACAAATTAATGTATAATCTTATCTCACCAACTTGTACATAAAATCCATGCAAGATAAAATTAGATCAAACCAAATACAGTATATAAAATTTAATCTTCAAACTTAAGTTGTACAAGTAATATTAATTTTTACTTGTAGCATTTTGTTGGGCCAATGTGAAAGTTAAAATATGTGAATATTTCTACACTGCAGGTCTGTGGGCGTGTTGACGTATGTACTATTGACTGGACATTCACCTTTTGGTGGTGACACCAAGCAAGAAACCTTTCTTAATATATCCCAAGGTCAGGTTGACTTTCCGAAGGAACTCTTTTGTGATGTCTCGGATCAAGCAATCGACTTCATCACACGGCTGTTGGTTGTCAATCCCAGGTATAGTTCCTGACTGTTTTTTTTTTTTTAATGTTCTTTTAGTTGATGGCATAGTTCTTGTACCCTACTCTGTATTATCCAGGTTTTAATGTTACATATGTTTGACCAGCCTCTGGTATCCACTAGGATGCAATTGTTTTGGACTACACTTCCCCATCCAGTGCATTAACCTTCATAGATAGTAATGGGTTGCCCGAGACATTACAAACAATACTGGCTTTGTAAGAATTTGCAGTTTCATCACCAGAATCTTTATTAACAACCTATTTTACCTTGTGTGTGTAATTACAGGACGAGAGCTATGCTCGTGGTGTCTTATCTTCCCAGTATTCCTTGTCATATGACGCTTTGAAACTAGAAACTACTGATGGTTTTGGCATCCACTGCCTTCTCACTTAAATTGTTCCAATCGTCCACAATCCAAAAACTTTTTAATATATCTATATTTTTATTACATGAAGAGGCTGAAGACGATCACCATTCTGAAGACCTTTGGCCTCGAGGATATATTTAATATGTTCGTGGCAGTCTTTAAGGTTCCTATCACCAGTCACAACCGCCAGGTCACAGTCACGATCTGCCAGGTCACACATCAGCCAAGAACTGACAGTATGGATAGCCGGCGCAGGGGTCTGGGGCTCCCCCTTCCTCCTCCCGGGGAGGGGGGAGCTGCACAGACAGCGGCGCGGTGACGGTTGTGACATCATGATCGTTTGCTCGTTATATGTTTGGGGAAGTTCTGTCCAACAGTTTGGCTTTCAGTAGTAATATTTTAATCAGATTAGGTTTGTTTTGGGGTGCCTCCCTTTCTGGGTGCCTGACCAGACGATGGCAGACATAGAATGCTTCCAACCACATGGGAATTTTTATAGGCCATTACTCCTCGTGCCTCTCTGAGGGGGGCCCAGGTTCTGGCTCATGGTCCCCGGTAGGCCTGAGAACTCCATTCGCTTTGACTGATGCCAGGGTCTATTACATGAATATCAGCCCAGATAGCTCCGGGGAGCCTCCAGGTCTCATCCAGAAAATGTTGTTTCATTACATTCAATGCTGTTTTTTTCTTCTATCATACAGTATTTACTACATATTTCTCTCTCACACACACACACATCAATAAGATGCAGCCCATAGCAGCTGTGTAATACCCAGGTACCTATTTACTGCTAGGTGAGCAGAGGCATCAGGTGAAAGAAACTCGGCCCATTTGTTTCTGCCTCAACTGGAAATCAAGCCCAGGCTCTTAGGACTATGAGTCCAGAGCACTGTTCATTCAGCTGTGGGACCTTATGTGTGTGTAACATGAAAACAGTTAGTTCTAATGGTAAGATCATAAATCTCTATCCCTATAGGTCTTTTTTTTTCAAAATTTTGGAGAGCAGGTAGCCTGCAACAATTACAAAATCCCTTGACATGATTAGATTCTGGAATTCACCTGGATATTTATATTCAGTCCATTAATTAGGAGTTGTGAACCTCCGAGTTGACACATACTTACGAAGTTAAGTAGAGACACGATTCCAAATCCTGGAAGTTTATTAGTATAAACTTCCAGGATTGGAACTTAATTAGTATAAATAACACACAATTATATAAGTGTATGTTGTGAACATCTTACTCAAGAACAACTTATTCATTAATTGTTGGCACCAAACTACCATGCTTACACCAACAAGTTGGCACAATTTACATTGTATACTAAAAGAAACCAGGAGAGATACTATGGGTCCTTACGAGGAATGCTGCCTGAAGACATACACCATGACTTTGCACCCTTCATAGAAAGGTTTCTGGGGAATAATGATGTTTTAGGAATGTTAATTACATACATTTTATCTGTATATTAAGAATTAACCAATATTTAATGTTTCAGCTGTCGTCTAACAGTGGATGAAGCAATACAACACCAGTGGCTGAAAGGAGTCTATACTTCTCATCCCTTTTCCAGTCCCTCACCTACTACTACCCATCGTTCCAGCAGAGAGATACTTTTGCATTCTCCCACTTCAACCGCTGCAACATCCCAACGCCGAAGCAGGGAACTAGAGAAGCACAATACTACCCCAAAAGGAATCCCTTCTTTTCACTGCAGCAGCAGCAGTAGTAGTAGTAAAGAAAGCATTTCACATTCTGTCACAGTGTCCACAGCCATATCTCCAGGTAACTCAAGTGCCAGTTGTAGTAAAGATATCACATCACCATCAAACAGTCCAGGGGTGTCCTCCATTCGCTTTATTGGAGAACCTGATTCATATGCACCTAGCACTTCCTCCATGCACTCAGCCAGGGAGATAGATACGGCATGTGTGGGAAGCACCTTGCATCATGGCAGAGAAGGTGTTAGTCCATGGAGAAAGTCAGAATTCATAAACAAAGAAAATAATAAGAATACACTAAATAAAACAGAAGAGTCCATCGTACCTGGGCATAGTAAAGAGTTGGTCACTTTAGAGTCTCCTGGCAAACCTAGAAGTAGATTAGTTCATGCAGATAAAGGAAAATTAGTAAGGGAAACAGATTCACCAAAGAAAGTGGCCATCGGTAAGGAAGGTAAAGAAAATAAGGAAAATGGTAAAGATGTTAAAGACAGTTGTATGGAAAAATTAAAACCCTCACCTCTATGCCTGAGACGACATGGTTCAAAATGTGATTTAAAGTCTCCAACAGATCAACAGAAGTACGGGTCTGTGCAAGGCTCTGTTAGTATAATCTTGGAAAAAAAGTATCATTTGTTAACCCAGTGTGACATTTGTAATTGTTGAGGACTTGTTGCCTCTTCTTATAGGGTAAATAGTATATATTATATATATTTATATATTATATATAGAGTATATCAGCTGAATGCTGCTGCTCAGTAATATATAATGCCAGTTATGCTGGCTGGGTAAACCTCTCCATATTGTGACCACATTTATAATCAAATGGTGCTATTGTAACAAATTTCAGTGAATATTAACTAACTGCAGCAGTTAGCAGAGTAAATTTTATACCTTTTGACGATTAAGCTGTGTCTGCAGGCGATTTATTTAATTTATGTTGATATAAATTTCTTTAATAATAATATTTGGTATAATTTCTTATTAACTCGGTGATATTCACCAAGTATTATCAAGAGGAAACATACAGTATTAGCACAAAAAATATTTTCTGGTAGTAGCCAGTTTCATGGTACAGAAATGTGTAATATAGTTCTCCCTGATATTTATTACCGTCTTTTGTAATATCATTGCTGACATTCTAAAAAAGTAATAACAGTACACTTCAGAAGATTATTATATAAATGCATATTTTGTATAATGTCATTATTCAAAATATTTATGAACTTTCCCGTGCCGACCTAAGAACAATTTTCCGATAAATGCATGATGTTCGGAGTCATTGTGCTTAACCAACTGTAAGAGGAATTGACTTAGCTTAAGACTTAAAAATGCATTTAATGCTTAAAATAAAATACTTACAAATGGTGCAGTTAACTTAAAATACGTTTTCGACGCTATTTCCAACAATTTCATTTGAATTCAGTTAACTTTAAAATTAATTACCAGAGTAATGTTCAAGGCACTGTCTCCCAAACTAGCAACAAGTACGGTGAATACGAAACCAATGATTATTTATTTACAATGTTTGCCTTACTGTAATTTCACTCCCACATTGCAAGAAAATTGCACCCAAATATTTTTCTGTTGTAATTTTAATAGTCTAATTAAACCAGTATTAAGGATATATGGCCAGATTAAAGCATACTTTTATTGTACGTAATGTATGGTTTATTGTAAGATATATAATGCAGCCACCAAAGTCTGGACTACTGTGTATAGTTCTGGCTAAGGTATCTGGGAAGTAATCAGAAGCTTGGGATTTATTTTTTCTTAATATGAAATGATTACCAAGCACCTTTGCTCATATTTAGACAAATGTACAGGATTAATGATGATTTTTGTTATACAGGAATGTTTAAATGCTTTTTTTTTTTTTTTTTTTTTTTTTTATTAACTTACAGCCCTAAAGATCATGTAAATTAAGTACAGTACTAACAACAGTACAATGCTTGTAAACTTTTTTATTAGACTCAATTTCTAGGGGCTAAAAGTTAAATCTTAAACGTTTGTACCAGAACGAGCCTTGATTTTCTTTTTTGACGGTCCAGATTTTGAGGGGTTGCAATATACAGTGGTGTCCCCACTCACTGTTCTGGGTATCCCACTCGTGTATCTGAAAAATATAGATATCCAGCAATCGGCTATGAAGGTACTGTATATGCTAATAGCAGATACGTTTTGATTGGGAAGAAGTGCCTGTGATAACCTCCCTCCCCCCAAGGCTAAATAAAGAATATTTGGGTGAATCTTCATTTAAATTAAGATAAGGGTAGATATCTTGCCATCAGATTGCGTTTGTCTAAGATGTATGACAAATGCAGCGATTGAGAATAATATATAGGAATCTCGTTCATCACAAATACTGACAGCATGCATAAATTTTGGAATATTATGACAGAAAATTATGTACTTGACCTTATACCGAGGCTCTTATTAACTCCACAGGCTGAAAGTTATTTTATTCTTCCAGGGAGTAAGGAAAATACATAATGTTTTCTATCATTCAAGAGACTTCTGTTGTGAATAAAATTGTCTTACAATGATTTAAATACTAATTAGGAATGCATTAGTTCCATGTATCTGTCAGTACTATCAAATGTACCTTTGTCAATTCATGCTGCAAGCAATCGAGGGAAGTTTATCAGGACTGAATATACTAAAGAGTCTTAACATTATACCTGTTGTTCACTGCCTTGACAGCATTCCACACTACACGTACTTAAATTCCCTCGCACACAGTTTCATATACAAATTATTTGCTTTTTTTATTAACACTATCGACTCCCTATGTTGTCATTTTAGAAGTGTGTGTTCTTAACATTGTGTAAATACAGTACTGTAATCATTGAGTAAAGAACTATGAATAGTTTGTTGCAAGATAAATTTTGTGAAGTTATTGCAATTTATCTTCAGTTATCTAATCACAACAGTTGTTACTGTTGTTTTATATGAATTGCATCAATACACCTGGTATTTGATATAATGATAACATGACATGCAAGTAGACATTTACTGTGTTCAGCATAGCTGGTAAGGTGACAAGTGAACAATATAAACACTGGTAATGATTATTTATGGACACTATTGATACAGTAGTTCTTTTCACGGCCTGGCCCCCTTGGGCAGCCTTCCTTAGTGATTGCCTGGCCATATGAGTGAGAACTTTTGCTGATAAAGTAATGATGGAAAAAGACATTACTTAAATAAGCCAAGAGCAAAGACATCTACTGATAAGGAAATGACAACCAACACCTTGTGCCGATGAGATAACAGAGGCTGATAAATGAATACTGATAAGATATCAGGGATTGAGAGGCTGCAGTGTATATACGAGTATACAGATGTAGTGAAGCACAATTAATCTTACTTTGTTTTTATCACCAAATGTTGCAATTTAATCATACAAAAGTGCAATAGGTACTCTTCAGTTTTCATTGTTTGATCTATTCCATTTGTACTGGATTTTGTGATTGACAGATTTTTATTTGTTATAGCCACTAATTGCTAATTAGATAGTAATGGAGTTGTTTTATATATATCAATTTTTTTTTATTTAGTGTGATATAATGGACCTGAAGTACTTTGTAAGGCTCTGTCAAGGAACATGGGTTCCTCAGTAATGATCGTAATTTGTTTTTGTAGCTTTTCTCTGCAAAAATTCTTCTTTTATAGATATGTGATTTTTCAGAGAGTATAGATGCACAAGTATCTCCATCTCGTTATGTCTGTTTTAATTATATGATTAATACCATTTATTATTCATACTGTATATTTTGTACATAGTGTGTACCTATTATATAAACATTTAAAATTCTAAGTAACTCTTAAATCCTAAAGTGTACATACAGGATTTGAACTTTACCTGTCCCCTAAAAGCCATAAATTTTAGTCCACTGAATGCAAACAACTACTCGTTTGTCATGATGGTAAAATCATGCAATTAGTTTTGAAGGTGAACAGCAGGAAGTGACATGGATCCTCTTCATTTCTAGTGTCTAAATAATCTCAAAGATGCTATTTACTTGTAGAAACAATTAGTGAAAATAAAATGCTGGTGAATTTCACAACCAAGTTCACTCAGAAATCACACAATATCCCCTGTAGATAAACAAGAAATTGTAATGTAAGTTTATGTATACGCTTTTGGGCGATACGAAACGAATGACTTTTTTTTTTTTTTCATTTATTTAATCACCGTGCTGTGCAGAGTACCTTGTGGGGGCTATGAGAGTTTTTTTTTAATGAAGCTATATTTTAATGTTTTTATCACTCTGTTTTTAAATGAAAATGGTTGAGTTTGGAAACATTTTGACTAACTTTATCTGAACGTTTATAGAAACAACAAAATATGTCGTTATCAATTGCACTATGAAGTTCTTGCCGAAACCAGGTGCGCAGTGCGGTGGGTAATATGGTGTTGGTTACCGCAGTCAGTTGTTGGCAACGTAATGGCATGTGTTAGCTGAGACAAGGCCTGGAGAAGGGCAGAGAGCCTGAATGAGGCTGGGGGTATAGAGCTCGAATGCAGGATGAGAGTGTGGAAGCTTGATGTGGCCAGAATTTAACTGTCTGCTCTGTGACAAGGCTATAGCATCTTGAGAGGATTGACTAGACTCAATGAGTGTTACATTGTTGCTGGTGACTGTTATTTGGTGTTGAAAATCTGAGCTATCTCTTGAGCATCTGTACAAAATTATGATTCGAGTTGCACTGACTGATAACGCAACCTGCCCTCCTACAAAGGACGTCACTTTATAAACTTGTATGTATTACACAAGGCCAAAAATTGCCGTACTAGAAAATGGAAGCGGCTCGCGAAAGTGACGTACTGCTCCATTTTCTGTTTGGGTCCTTTGGTAAGTCAGGAGAGGACACTTTAAACTGACTGTTTCTTGAAGTTGGGAAACCTTTGCAGGACGGGCTGGATGATGCTCTGCTGTCTACATCTTATATTACTAGCTTTCTCCACACTTTGCAGGTTACCTGTCGGCTGGCCTGATTGATCCTGTGCCTTTGAATAGAGGTATTAATTGTAATCAGTGGACCTAGGATTAATGTAGAACTTCTTGAAGTGTAGAACTCTTACCAGAGATTTTATGTGAAAGTAACAGTAACATCAAATCGCTCACGAAGGCCTGGGTTCATATCCTTGACGGTAGGATTAACTAGGTGCCAATCCTTAACTGTATGGCTCAGTTCACCCAGGTGATAAACAATTTGTGAGGTCGTATTCCGGGGAAAGTTAAGATTAGGTACCTGCCCGAAATGCTATGCGTGCTAGTTACTTTACAAAACTAAGAACTCTTGTATATACAGTATAAATATAATAAAATAAAAAATTGTCATGACCCTAATGAGAGTTTGGAGCAAGTACTGTATATTACATCTTAATATACTTACTACAAAATAATTATAAAAGTGAACACACACACTATAAAAAATATATACTGTATATACTTAAAAAAGTATAATAAAATTCTTTAACATGAAAATTAAGAAACAAGTAGTAACGTACAAATCCACAAGAGCCGTGATGAGGGTTCGAACCTACGTCTGGGATGATCCCAGAATGATCCCAGACGTACCTTAGTCAACTGCACCATGACATGGTTAAAAGAATTGCAATCTGGAGTGCTACTTGCCCTCATGAGGATCCCGCAGTTTCTCCGAAGCACAAACTGGGGTTTCACACAATTTCCCCATATACCCGGGTTCATTTGATATATCATGCTATTGTGATTTCTGTGTATAGTGTAAGCAGTAATGTATTTATTGTAATAAAACATACTACAGTACTTACTGTTGTAAGAAATATTAGAGTATAATATACCATCAAGTAACTAGCAGCTTGAGTTATGTGATACACTAAATGATCTGACATGAAATTACATCCTTGCTAATGCTCTAGAATATTATATAACTAACTTAGTTAAATAGTTAAAATAGTTATAGTTATAGGGCCTGACGGCTGGGTGGACAGCGCTCGATATTCGTAGTCCTAAGGTTCTGGGTTCGATCCCCGGCGAAGGTGGAAACAAATGGGCAGAGTTTCTTTCACCCTGATGTCCCATTCACTTAGCAGTAAATAGGTACCTGGGAGATAGACAGCTGCTACGGGCTGCTTCCTGGGGGATGTGTAACAAAAAAGGAGGCCTGGTCGAGGACCGGGCCGCGGGGGCGCTGTAACGTACGATTATATTATGTTGTTGAATAGATTAGATACACACTATTTAATGGGTTTTCATATTTATTTAGTAGTCTTGGATACAGCAGTGTCGTAGACGTTGAGACGGAGCTTGGAGCAGAGCAGAGAGCCGAGTGAGGCCAGAGTCGCGGAGCTCTATGTTTTACAGCGTTGTAGCTGGATGCAGTCCTGGTCTGCTGTCTGTTCTGTGTCGAAGCTGTAGCATCTTGGGGTCGATTAGAACTGCATACGCCGAGTGCTACATTCTTGACTGGAAATTGTACTGTTTGCTATTCGATTGATTGATTGATAAAAATTCACTTAGGGTATATTACACTAACAGTAGAAGTCTAAGAATCAAAATAAACGAGTTAAATGCTCTTGTCTGCACAGAAAAAATAGATATTATTGCACTTACCGAAACGTGGATGAATGTAGAAAATAGAGAACTATTAGCTGAATATCAAATAAATGGAGTTAAACTATTTCACACAGATAGATATATTAGACGAGGAGGGGGAGTAGCCATATATGTTAGGGACAATTTGAAATGTAGTCTCAAAGAAGGAATCAAAACTGAACCACATACAGAAACTATTTGGATAGAATTAAACGAAAGAGCAAATAATCTTATAATAGGAGTTATATACAGGCCACCAAACTTAAACAGGATGGAAGCAAAGCATCTATGGGATGAAACATCTAGAGCAACTGGGTCTAATAGTATTTGTGTCATGGGTGACTTTAATTTCAGTGGAATAAATTGGTCTAACAGAATAGGGAATAATGAAGCAGAAGATTTTTTAGAACTAATTGACGATTGCTTTCTTAGCCAACACATTAAGGAACCAACGCGGGAAAATAATACTTTAGATTTAGTGTTAACTAACAGGGAAACATAAATTAACGACATCGAAATAGGGAGTGAGCTATTTGGAATAACAAGAACTGTACTACATCTAGGCCTTGTAATTGTTTAGGAGAAAAATTAAGAAGATGCAAGGCATAATAATCAACAACAGATCGTATAAAGGCAATATAAAAACTACGAGCATATTTTATGTTAATGCCAAATCCTTTGCCAACAAGAGTTTTGAGAGGTTTAAGACACTCAACTAGTTTTTTACGCAGGTTGCTGACGAGATTTATAATATTAACCTCGACTCCAAGATATTTATAAGACTCGCAAGTCTCCACGGGCACTCCATTAATAGTATAGTTAACATGAAGAGAATGGGGAATAAGAACCCTTGTTTTATCAACAGAGATTATGAGGCCACATTCTACTACTTTCTTGGAGAATGCATCAAGTAACACTTGTAGCCTTGGTTTACTGTGTGCCATAATACATATATCATCAGCATAACATATAACAGTTTCCGTAGGTTGTACAGGTATGTCATGGATAAGTTTGTGCATAAGTATATTGAAGAGCATAGGGCTTAGGACACCACCTTGAGGTGTGCCTAGTTCGAATGCATCTGTTCTTGTACTTTTAACTCCTTTAAATAGGACACTAGCACGCCTGTTGGATAGGTAGCTCTTTATCCAACTCAGAAGATTACCTTTGATTCCAAATTCAGCAAGTTGCTTTAATATTATTTCTCCATTCGCTACATCGAAAGCTGACTTTAGGTCAATAAAGGCTGCCTGTGTCCCATCCTGGGAGTGTACAAAATATTCAGCAAAGCATGTTTGTGTGCTACACTTGGGCATGAACCCATATAGGTTTGGGGCCAGTTTTTCTTTGACCTGAAACATGACACGATTGAGAACAATTCTCTCCAAGACTTTACACATGCAAGATGTAAGGGAAATGGGTCAGAATTTTTGAGAGTTAGGTTTAGGAATTGGTATTATGAGACTTTGTGTCCATTTCTTTGGCAAGATACATTGTGAGAGGCTCATTTGATAGAGGCCAAGCAGAGGGTGGCTTAGGACATCATTCAGTAAGCTCAAGGTGTTATAAGTTATACCATCCTCACCAGGGGCAGTTTGCTTAGGTTTTCTTAATGCTAATGTTAATTCAAAGGGGATTATAGCAAACTGATCTGTTAAATCTGGTGAGGAGCGTGCTATTTCAATATTAAAGTTTCTGTTAATGTTGGTATTATTTAAATGCTGCTGTATATCTGGGGGTAAGGAAGAAATTTGTGAGACACTAGATCATTGAGCTAAGAGCATGTCAGCATATTCTGCAGGAGTATGATGAAGCTGAACTGGGGCTGAAGGTTTGGTAATGCTTTCAAACCCAATACCCATCCTGTGGGGTGCAGTGGTCCCTATTCCCATTTTGTGGGGACAGGGGATTATGGATCCCATAACCGTCCTGGAAAAGGTATTGGTATTTCGAATCCCGGGCGAGACAGGAATGGTTGGGTACATTGTCTTTCACCTAATGCAGCAGTACGTAGGTATTCATGCAGGACTTAGTCAGCTTGTTATGAGGTACATCCTGGGCGGGGTCAGTAATTCGGCCTTGGGGGAGGGGGCTCTCGGTATAAGTCTACTGTGTATGAATACAATCTGGCTTCCTGTCCCCAGACACAATGAATTAGAATTACCATATCCATCCTGTGGGGTGTAGTGTAGGATACCCTATCCAATTCGTTTTTTATAATACCTAATGT